CACCAGCGCCAGCACCTCCAACAGCTCCAGAACCTCCAGCGCCAACACCCTCAGCAGCTCCAGAACCTCCAGCTCCAGCGCCACCAGTGCCAGCACCTCCAACAACTCCAGAACCTCCAGCGCCAGCACCCGCAGCAGTAGCACCCCCAGAACCAGCACCTCCAGCTCCAGGGCCTCCAACCTCTGAGTCGACAGCAGCACCTCTAGGTCCAGCAGGACCTCCAGTCCCAGCAGCTCCAGTACCTCCAGTACGAGCACCTCCGGGACCAGCTGCTCCAGGAACTCCAGTAGAAACAACTCCAGTAGCAGAGTCACCAGCTCCAGCTCCTCCCATAGCAGGGCCCCTAGCTCCAGCAGTGCTACCCTGACGGCTAACGTACCACTCACGCTGCTGCTGTGGGGAGAGAGGGACAGTGCCGGCTCCAGTGCCTCCAACACCAGCGCCTCCCGCAGCAGGGCCCCCAGCTCCAGCAGCTCGACCCTGACGGCCAACGTACCACTCACGTAGCTGCTGTGGGGAGAGAGGGAGACGACGACTAGAGTGCAGCGGCGAGGCACCAGCAGAGCGACTACGGAGACGGCCGCTCCAGGGAGACTGCTCACCGCAGCGCCCCCAGGTGCAGCACCCCCAAACTCAGCACCCCCAAGCTCAGCACCCTCAGACTCCTCATGCCCAGGCTCAGCACCTCCAGGCTCCGCACCCCCAGGCCCATCACCCCCAGGCTCCGCACCCCCAGGCTCAGCACCCCCAGAAGCAGCACCCCGAGCAGGACCACCCTCAGCAGGCCCGGAGTCACCAGTGACCTCAACCGGCGCTGTCAAGGGAGGAGGGTCTACCTGAGACACACCTGAAGGAGCAGGACCGAGGAGGAGTGAGGAGCGGCGCGCTGCCGCCCCTCGACACAGGGAAGACAGGGAGGAGCAGGCGAGGGAGGGAGGGGAGGGAGAACCCTGGGAAGACCAGAGACAAGGACACGGCGGTGCATGCTACGAAGGCGCTGCACCGAGGGGTGACCAAGACGGTGGTGCCAAAGGAGGGTCTGGTGCGACAAAGCGCGACACGAGCAGGGGGCCACTAGCTGACCTGACGCAGACACGGACGCAGCGATCTGAGGGGACACAGTAGTCAGTGTGTACGGACTAGAGCCAGGCTCACGGGTAAACGTGGCCAGGTGCCGGCCCGTCCGGGAGCACGTACAGTGGGTCACGCGCTGACCTCCAGGAGTGAACTGGTCAACCCACTGGTCCTGGAGGTCAGCACCACTCACCAAGTTCGTAAAGAACGAGGGGAGGTGAAGACCTGACAGGCAGCCAGACGGGACCGCCAGACACGGCAGGACCGTGGAGGAGTGCGCAAGGACTGGACCCCCAGAGGGGTCTGCCAGGGAGACTGCAATCGGCCGACTGAGCGGCGTGAGGGTGGTGCTGTCGCGAAAGAAGGAGCGGGAAGCACCTGAGTCAAGTGTGAAGGTGTACAAGGCCTCAGTAGGTGCAGTACCAGAGAGAGCAGACTCACCAGTACCTGGAGCAGCAGCCTCACCAGCACCTAGAGCAGGAGACGCACTAGCACCTAGAGCAGCAGCCTCACCAGTACCTAGAGCAGGAGATGCACTAGCACCCAGAGCAGCAGCCTCACCAGTACCTAGAGCAGCAGGCTCAATACCTGGGTCAGGCGGTACGCACAGGTAACAGGCACCGTCAGCACTAGTAGGCAATGCATACATGGCAGTGAGAATAGCATCATAGTCAAGAGCAAAGATATCTACCCTCTGCCTAAGCAGCTCCAGCCAGGTGGGGAGCTCAGCCTCGTCGCCAAACTCGGTACGCCAGGCGTCGCTCAGACGGGCGAAGAAGCGGGACTGTGTGTGACCAAGCGTCCCGCAAGCCTGACCAGCCCGATCACATGTGCGAATGACGTACGGGCAGCGAACGGGCTACTCCGAGACCCTCTACTCTGAGCGTACCACTCGTGAAGCTGCTGGGACGTAAGTGTCTTACTGTTGCAGCTGCAGCTGGCCACTGCCAGACGCTCCCAACTGACCAGCTCCAGGGCGACAGCTGCGACGGCTACCGCCACAACCCCAACTAGTGTACCACTCACGAAGCTGCTGGGGCGTGAGAGACTCGCGTTGACGTCGCTGGAGCTGCATCTGGCCACCGCCAGTAGCAGCAGTAGCAGAAGTAGCAGCAAACGCAGCAGCAGCAGTCTAGCAGCAGTAACAGAAGTAGCAGCAGTAGCAGGAGTAGCAACACGGGCAGGGAAGGTGCGGTAGGCAGGCAGGCAGATGGCGCGGCAGCGCGCGAACAAGGTTGGTGCTCACCAGTGGCGGGAAGGGCAGGCGCTCGCCGGGCGAGCAGGGCCGGCGCTCGGCGGGCGGCGGCCGGGTAGGCGCACGACGGCGGCGACGGCGGGGCCGCGACAGCTGCGGCAGAGCAGGGCCGCGTCGGCGGTAGAGCAGGTCCGCGACAGCTGCTGCAGGGCAGGGCCGTGAGCGCTGCAGGGCGAGGGCCGCGACAGCAGCAGGAGGCTCCGCGGCAGCTTCTGTAGGGCGGGGCCGCGACCGTGGCATGGCGCTCCGCGGCAGCTACTGCAGGAGCGACGGCGGCAGTCAGGCAGGGGCGGCGTCCAGCGGGGGGGGCGTCGCGACAGGCCGGGGCGACGTCCAAGGTGGGGGGGGAGGGGGGGGCGCCGCGACGATCAGGGGCAGCCGTGGCGCGCGGGGCTGCAGCGCGACGCGCGGGCATCGGACGCGACACGCGGGCAGCGGACGCGACGCGCGGGGCTGCAGCGCGACGCGCGGGCAGCGGACGCGACGCGCGGGGCTGCAGCAAGCAGCGCGGGCTGCGGACGCGGCGCGCGGAGCAGCAGCGAGCCGCGCGCGGGCTGCCGAGGCGCGACTCGGGAAGCTTGGGCGACGCGCAGGGCAAAAACCGGGCCGCGCGCAGGAATCAGGTCTGCGCGCTCTAAGCAGCAGCAGACCGCGCAGTCAGCAGACAGCAGGCAGACGGGCGCGCAGCGCAACACGTCACAGGCACAGTCACAGTCACAGTCATGGGGTAGCGGTAGGTGGGCCAGAAAAAAAAAAGACGGTCCTACGGACCTACTGCTCTGAAACCATGTTAGAATCTAGAGACAGGAATGAATGCAGTATGGAAGAGTTGGGTACAAGTATGAAACCCTAAACGGGGCTGTACCCCATATTGGCTACCCCACTACAGCCTACAAATATATAACATGCATATACTTTGACAGATACCAGCAGCGATTATCAGCGACAGAGACACAAAGTTCACCAGCAATTTCTGGAAGAACCTCTGGGAGCAGTTCGGGACCAGGCTACAGTTCAGCTCGGCGTACCATCCCGAGACCGACGGTCAAACGGAGCGGACGAATCAGACGATGGAGCAGTTGATTCGTGCCACGTGCAACGTCCCGACAACTTGGGAGTAGCAGCTGCCGCTGATCGAGTTTGCGTACAACAACGCCACGTCAGCGACGACGCAGCTGTCCCCGTTTTACCTGAACTACAGGCAAAATCCAACAGTGCCCATGACGCCGATTCCGGACAACCCCACGCCACGTGCACAGCAATTCGCTGATATTCTGCAGGCTGCCCGAACTAGAGATGCAGAAGCAATTAGAAAAGCAAATGTCATTGCTAAGCGCAACGCTGACCGCCATCGCCGCCCAGTCATGTACCAGTCAGGAGATTACGTACTGCTCGACACGCAAAATCTACGACTGTCCGATGTACCAAAACTTCGACCTCGCTACTGTGACCCATTCCAAATCAGCCACATGATTACACCAGTAACCGCCCATCTACTGTTACCGACCGACTGGTACATCAGCCCATCATTCCACGTCAGCCTGCTTCGCCCCTACATCCCAACCACAAGCCAACTACCTCGTCACCGCCCGCCATCCATGACTCGCCCTGCATCGGAGCCGATCATCGAGCCCGAAAAGATTTTGAGCCATCGGATTCGACACTTCTCGGGAATCAGGAGGATCGAGTTCCTCGTTCGCTGGAAGGACCGCACGCCAACTGAGGATAGTTGGGTGCCCCTAGCCAACATTGAAAACCACCCTGCCCTGCAATTGTATATGAGGAGCCGGGGTTTCCGCGATGTACACGCACTTACGTAGCGGAGGGGGCTTCTTGAGGGGGGTGGTAGTGTAAGGAATTTTATCGATATTCCTTAGCGCATCCGGCAACATCTTGTACAGCAGCAACCGTTGTTCGCCCGTTACAGCTAACGAGGCTTCGCCGACTTCGCGCGCACTGTTTCACCAAACCTCGCACTGCTGGCCCGGCCGTGTCGGCCTACGCTTCAGGACTAGCCCGAACCTCACTGCCAGCATAGCACTAACTAGCTCGCATGCACCGCGTTACCGTTTGCATGATTCACGTGTACATGTTCTCTCATGCCTTCGCGCACATTTTGTACTCACTTGACACTTAGTGCAATCCTCGCTACCTCGATTCATTGCACCCGTAACAGTGTACCAAAACCTGCAACAAGAGGCTTGTTATTCGAAGACATGCAAAAAAACATTTTACTAGCCAAATTCACAATATTGCTGAAACATTTGACCTTACGCATACAATACTATCCACCCAGCCACCTGACACAGAAAATGGTGAAGCCAAATCGAGGCATTTACACTTCGAAACAGATATCCTTGACATCATTATGCACAAAATACCATATATCCGGCTTGACTGGCGAATCAAACATGTAGTTCAACATATATGCAAACTAGCAAGGGTTCTTGTTGTGAGTCTCCATTCCATAACTCTATTCCCACGCAAAATCCCTGTCCCCCAGATGTATATCTAACACAAACACATACATACACACATGAAACCCCACCCACACATATTTTTGCAACACAGATTGCCACCTACCTCCCTCACTCCTTCCCATAATACCTCAACCTATTCACTCCCCAACCACTGCACACCCTAGCAGCCCCGCCTTCAGACCCATTCACTCTATTTCTTGCTGACTGCAACAGGCTCAGTCCACCCTGGGGCGCCTTCCAGCAGGTGTGCATGCAGCCAGTGCCTCGTGGCATGAAACGCATCCTCCGCATCCTCATCCTCATCCATGCTCTTGGGCCGGTGCGCAAACGCATGGCCCCGTCCCGCATACACCCTCGTCACCACCTCCACCGCCTCCTTCCCCCTTCCTGCTCCTCCCTTAACTCTCCTAGACACCTCTTGCAGAGTCTCTACATTGCAGAGCGAGTCGCTATCCCCAGCCACCAGCAGCAGCGGCACCCGGATGCTCCCAGCAATCGCAGGATCAAACCTGGTCCCGTAGAAAAACACCCCAGTGCTGAACAACTCAGCTGTCAACCCGTCACCATCACTCCCACTGCTTCCATCCCGAGCCAGGGCCTCAATCAGCCGGCCACCTCCGAAGCAGAAGCCTAGCAGGGCGATGCGGCCGTTGCCGGGGCTGACAGGCGCGGGGAGGGAGATGGAGGAGGCGAGATAGCGCGCAGCGGTGTCGATGTCAATGGCTAGCTGCGCGGCGTTAAGTGACTCGCGCCACGAGTCGTACTCCTCCTGCGGGCGAGACGCTTCCCAGGGCTGCCCGCGGAAGAGATCGGGGATTAGCACGCTGCGGAGGGTTACGTGGAGGTGGGGAAAAGGTGGGAAGAAAAGCAAAAGGCGGGGGAGTGTGGGGAAGGTTATAGTTAAGTTCGTAGGAGTTGGAGGCGGGAGGGAGGGAAAGGGGGAGAGGAAGGGAGGAAGTCGGGAAAAGGAATTTGCATGGATGAATTCGACGCCTTGTCTGCTGCGTGGACTGCTTCACTGACTAATTTCAAGCCGAATCTACACACTAGTAGCGCTGGAAGCGAACGGAATGAAATCTCGACGTCTGCAGGAACTTCGCACCTAATCGTGCGTTCCAAGTTTATCACGAGTACCTGATCGTACGTTCCTTCGTACCTTCTCGAGTTTGAATACCTCGTCAATTTGAACAAACAAATCAAATCCCGACGCACCTGTAGCCGAAGCAAGCAAGCCGGTACGCGAACATCTTCGTGTCCGCGTCATCGAGCCCCATCACATCAGACAGCAGCACCACGCCGCTCCCGTTCTTATTCTTAATCGGCTCCACCAGATGCGCGCGGAACGCCTCCCGATCTCCCCCCAGCCCGTGCGCCGCAGCCGCAATGGCTGCTGACGTGGTTGAGCTCGCATCTGACGGCCCCTCGTCCCCCCCCAGCATCAGGTCGCGCCCATGCACGATCTCGCACGTCTCGTCATCTGCCTCCGCGCTCACCGCCGCATCGTTCCCGGCGCCCACGCTCGCGCGGGGAGCAAGGCGCGCGGAGGTAGAGAAGCGGGGGCGCGAGGAGAATGTGAGAGACGCCGGGAGGTGGGAGACGGAGGCGAGGGACGACGAGCGGGTGCGGGAAGCGACGACTGGTCGGGGTTACAACGGGTGTCGCGAATGGTGTGAAGGGAAGGAATGGATGACCGCCGTCACAGAACAGTTGGCAGAAGCAGCGCACGGGGCGTACAGATGGAGCACGACGCGAGAACACGGGGAAACATGGCGAAGAATGGAATAAATTAGTGAATACATCCGCTCGCGCATATTGTTCCCTCGTTTCCAGCCTACCATAACTTTCGGCGTTTCCTGTTGGTCGGACCACGAATTCGATTGAAATGTCAACCATTTGTAAACAGGATAATTGTGACACAGAAACGTGGGTGTCGCCGGGAACAAAAAAAAAAAAAAAAAAAAAACACACACACACACACACACACCCAGAATTTATGCCTACGCGTACCTGAGAATGGAGTGGAGCCTGAGCGAACGCATGACGATCGTCCATGGCCATGGGCGTGTCTGCCTTGCGTGGCCGAGGGACACACTACAGGACACAGCGCCCGCGGGCAGACGGACGAGAGAACCATGGCAACGTAGAGTAGAAAAGCAGAGGACGGACAATAGGATCTACGCGTGATAGAATAGTTTCGAATGGAGTGTGGTGACCAGAACAGTCGGGAGATTTCAGCTGAAGTCAGCACAAGGTGAGAGTGTAGTTGGTCCTTGGTAATATCGCCAGGAAAATCTGACGTAAGGGCTCCTTAGAAACTGGGATGCAGAATGGCGCAAGGAATGGGGAAAGGGGGAGATGGCTCAGATGGGTTATGGGACTGGAGGGGGAAAGAGGTTGCTTGGGGATTGCAGCAGGGATGAAAGTACAGAATATGCGGCAGTAGAGCTCGGCGCGGAATGACAAACCTAGTTCAGGAGCTGACATGGGCAGCTTGCTCACGTGGATGCTGGTTGCGCTTCGCTGGCAATAGGTGAAAGGATCAGCCTCGGAAACGAGTCAGCAGGTCTGGAGCTCGCGTAAAGTTTCAAAAATGCTTCGCGGAAATTCCAGGTCAGCAGAGTTTATGTTTGGAAGTCACCTGAATCAAGGGTACGAGCCAGATTCATGGACCGCAAATATCTTGACTGGCTAGCGTTTTGGATTACCTCCTCAAGCCCAGGGTTAGCTCGAGGTTCGGGAGGAAGGAGAACCTACGAACCAAGTCGAAGGTGATCATGGGTACTAAAAGGAAATTTCCATTTTCCTTACGCCGCATCCCTCCTTAGCGCGAACATCACTATAGCACCACAGTCAGCGCCGTTACCACTAGCAACCCTTGCTTCGACAATCTCCCCACCACCTCGCCCGTCGCACCCCGACCTCACGACTTGGCTGGTAACCCGCGCTCCGGCCCTCCGCCTCGACATTTCCCAACCACAGTCCCAACCTCAATCTCAGTACCGTCGCGCGTCACCCAGAGATCGTTACCGTTACCACTGTGGCCTTCGCTATTTAGACCTCGCTCAATCCTTCGCTCATTGTATTGTTTTTGCTTCGATAATGCAATTCTCGCTCGCTCGCTCAATTGCACTCATAACATGCACAAACACACCTGATTGTTGCTTCCATGGTGTAGTAGTGGCAATAAAATACTACACCTGTCGAGGGAGTGTTACGGGTGCAATGAATCGAGGTAGCGAGGATTGCAGTGTCAAACGAGTACAAAATATGAGCGAAGGCCTGAGCGAATATTTATACACGAAACATGCAAACGGTAACGCGATGCGTGTGAACTAGCTAGTGCTAGGCTGGCATCGAGGCTCGGGCTAGTCCCGAAGCGTAGGCCGACACGGTCGGGCCAGCGGTGCATGGTTTGGTGAAATAGTGCGCGCGAAGTCGGCGAAGCCCCGTTAGCTGTAACGGTCGAACAACGGCTGCTGCTGCACGCGATGTTGCAGGGTGCGCTAAGGAATGTCGAGAGAAATCCTTATACACCCCCCCCCCCCCCCCCCCCCCTCAAGAAGCCCCCTCCACTACGCGAGTGCGTGTATATCGCGGAAACCCCGGCTCCTCAGGTACACTTGCGGGGCAGGGTGGTTTTCAATGTTGGCCAGGGGCACCCAGCTGTCCTCAGTTGGCGTGCGGTCCTTCCAGCGAACGAGGAACACGATCCTCTTGATGTCTGTGAGGTGTCGAATCCGATGGCTCAGAATCTTTTCGAGCTCGATGATCGGCTCCGATGCAGGGCGAGTCATTTATGGCGGGCGATGACAAGGCAGATGGCTTGTGGTTGGGATGTAGGGGCGAAGCAGGCTGACGTGGAATGATGGGCTGATGTACCAGTCTGTCGGCAACAGTAAGTGGGTGGTCGCTGGGGTGATCATGTTGCTGATTTGGAATGGTCCACAGTAGCACGGTCGTAATTTTGGCACGATGGGCAGTCTTAAGTTCTGTGTGTCGAGCAGGACGTAATCTCTTGACTGGAACGTGACTGGGCAGCGGTGGCGGTCAGCGTTGCGTTTAGCGATGACATTGGCCTTTTTAATTGCTTCGGCGCGGGCAGCTTGCAGAATCTCGGTGAATTGTTGTGCACGTGGCGTTGGGTTGTCCAGACTCGGCGTCATGGGCATTGTAGGGTTTTGCTTGTAGTTCAGATAGAACGGGGACTGCTGCGTCGTCGCTGACGTGGCGTTGTTGTACGCGAACTCGATCAGCGGCAACTGCTGCTCCCAAGTTGTCGGCCCGTTACATGTGGCCCGAATCAACTGCTCCATCGTCTGATTCGTCCGCTCCGTTTGACCGTCGGTCTCGGGGTGGTACGATGAACTGAATTGTAGCCTGGTCCCGAACTGCTCCCAAAGGTTCTTCCAGAAATTGCTGGTGAACTTCGTGTCGTGGTCGCTGATTATCGCGGCTGGTATCCCGTGCAGTCGAACGACGGTTGCGATGAACAGGCGAGAGGTTTCTTCAACTGAGATCGATTTCTTGCACGCAGCGAAGTGAGCCATTTTCGTCAGTCTGTCAACGACGACAATTACCGCGTCGTTACCCCCAGGGTTCGAAGGTAACCCTGTGACGAAACCATGGTAACCGGCTGCCAGGCGCGCTCGGGTGGTGAAATCGGCTGCAACTGACCCGGCTTTCGTTTCCGCGAGCTCTTCATCACCTAACACGTAGGACACGAGCCCACGTGGTGCTGTACGTCGGTCAACAGCTCCGGCCAGTAGTAATACCGCTGCAGCTGCTGTCGCGTTTTCTCTACCCCAAAATGTCCCGAGGTAACTCCGGCGTGTGCCTCTTGTAGTAGCAATTCCCTCAGTAGTGAATATGCCAGTACCCAGATGCGGTTGGTGCTTGTTTCTACGTAATAGACTCCTTTAGCTTCTGCCAATTGCTGCGAATTTCCAGTCGTGAAAAATGGGTCGGTACTGTATCCGTAAGTGAATAGGCCTGTTAACAGCGGGTTGGTTTGGGCGAGTAGGATGGCGTGGAGTTGGGCGGTGGGGCGAGTGAGTGCGTCGGCGATATTGGATGCGCCTTTTTTGTACGTGACTGTGTAGTGAAAGTTGGACTCCAGATAGTCCAACCAGCGGATCTGTCGTAGGTTGAGATTCGGTTGGGCGCGAAGGTACTGTAGTAATCGATGGTCTGTCCGTACTGTCACGTCTGCTCCCGTGAGGTAACATCGCCACACCTTGAACGCGTGCACGATCGCCAGCATCTCGCGGTCGTGTATCGGATAGTTGCGCTCGGGCTGGTGAAGCTTGCGAAACTCGTACGCGATTGGCTGGAGGCCGTTCCCGAAGTCCTGCAACAGTACTGCTCCCACAGCGATGTCGCTAGCGTCGGTGACGAGCTCGAACGGACGGTGCGGATCTGCAATGTGAAGCACGGGCGGCGAGCACAAAATTTGTTTGAGGGCCGAGAAGGTAGCTTGCTCTTTCTCCCCCCACGTGTACTCGACCCACTTCCTCAGCAGGTCGGTCAACGGAGCATTCAACTTCGCCATGTCGGGGACGAACCGGCGCACGTAGTTGACGAACCCCAAAAAACACTGCAACTCGGTCAAATTTGTCGGCGCGTGCCACGCTTGGATCGTCACGATCTTCTTCGGGTCTATTTCCACTCCGTTAGCTGAAATGATGTGTCCCAAAAACTCCAACCTGTCTTGTAAAAACTCACACTTAGAGGCTTTGGTCAGTAGGCGGTTTTCACTCCGTATTTGAAAAACTGCTTCAAATTCCTGTAGGTGATGTGCTCTATCTGGGTGGTAAATCAGTATGTCGTCGAGGTACACGATGACGCACTTATCTAAAAGCGGGCGGAAAGCTTCGTTCATGGTCATTTGGAAAGTGGCGGGGGCGTTGGTTAGTCCGAAGGGCATGACGGTGTATTTGAAGGATCCGTGGCGTGTTAGGAAGGCTAGTTTCAGGCAGTCGGGTGGGTTGACTCGGATCTGGTGGTAGTCTCTTAAAGGTCGATTTTCGATAAAACCCGGGCTGTTTGCAATTGGTCGATCAGTTCGTCGGCTCGCGGGATGGGGTAACGGGACTTGATGGTAACTCTGTTCAGTGCTCTGTAATCTCTACACATGTGAAAACTCCCATCTTTCTTCGGCGTAAACAGTATCAGTGCCGCGAAGGGAGACGAACTCGGGCGAACAAACTCCTTCTCGAGTAGGTAATCCAGCTGCTTCCGTAGTTCGTCCATTTCGGGTTGGGTCAGTCGGAACTGTCGCTGTACTATCGGCGGTGCCCCCGGTTCTAGCTCTATCCTGTGGTCGTGCGGTCGCTGAGGTTGCCGTCGGCAGGTCATCCGGAGATATCCCACTATACCGCTTCAGGAGTTCTGCCAGATCATGCGGTACGTCGGCTAGCAGCTTCCGTAAATCCCCCCCTTTGTCTGCTGCCTCGGCTTCCCGAATGTCAACCGCGTACACGTCAGCTCCTGCCGCTACGGCGCATTTCATCGTGATCGCGTTGACACGCACCGACGAAGACCCAGGCGAGCCCCAGCAATGTAAGGTGATGTTGTTACCGTTCACTCGCACGGTGCAGTCACCCGTCTTCCAGTCTATTCGCAGATTGTGTCGATGCAGCCAATCACGACCGAGTAAGATGTCGGTTCCGTCGAGGGTTGTCGCGAGCATTTCCTGACTAAACGTGAAGTTACCCCCACATCGAATCCGAACCCGGTCTACACGTTCCCGTATCGCCAGTGGCGTGCAGTCAACCAGTCTTGCGTCGATCTCAGGTAAACATCTGTCATTCGGCTTCGTGACGATGACACGCCACCAATCCATGGCGGGTCCTCGCAGCAGCGACACGGCGTAGCGAATCTTCGCCGTATCCTCCAAGACGTAGTTGGCGTCGAAGAAAACGTTCATCATGAACAACCACGCCTGAACGGTAGGACCATTTCGTTGACTCGGGTCAAAGCTGTCAAACTATGTATATGTGTGCTAGTTCTGTGTAGGCTATAGTGGGGTTGCCCATATGGAGTAAAACCCAATGTTAGGGTTAGTACTTGTACCCACATTCCTCTCAATGCAGTCATTCTAGCTTCTCATTCTGACATGGTATCAGAGCAGTGGAT